CCAGATCCCAAAACAATCCCCCACAGAAGGCACATTCATCAAGGATTTTCTCCACTGAGTGCAAGCCAGATCTGCTTCTTACACACATGAGGCAGTGCAGAACTGATCAGATAACTCATTCTTGAGGTTCCTGCAAATTTCAAGAACTGGCTGTCAGAAAAAACTCACAAGTTGAAGGTATACACCCTGAACTTCCCATTAGACTTTACAAGCATGGACACAAACCAAATCAAATAACATTGGCACAGAGAATTGCAACAAACCCCAGCAAAATTTCCAGTGCTTGTAACTTGTCTCACATCTGCTGCAGCATCTCCATCTAGGAGCAAATCTTCATGCCAAGTTACTCCATCTGCACCTGTAAATCAGTTCAGGTAATAGCTCTGGAACTCAAGCCAGCCAGCACAGCAGTGCTCATGTGCATGTGGCCGCTCCCTCTTGGTCCCATGACTAGGTGGTCTCTTCCAAACGCTTGGGAAGCAGCTCCTGGCCTGTGCTAAACCCAAGGCATGCCCAGATGCCACCTGTGAGAAGGATGGCTGGCTCCCACTGAAACTGTGCTCGGGACCATGCTAACTGATTATCTGCACAGCCTCCTCTATGGCAATATTTATGTTAATTAGGGGCCTTGCTAATACTGTTGTTACTATTACCATGACACTACGTTCCACCCCAGTGCAGGGCAGAGGGTGTAATGGCATTTTGTAAACAACGAAATGAGCCTCACAGTACCCATTCAGAGAAGCACATGGTTTTTACCCAATTTACAATCTAGGAGACTGTGTGATCAAAAGACTACTCAATGTGCTTCTCTTCAAGGAAATGATGGTAAAGAGCCAAGAATAAGGGATGGAATTCCTGATTCTTATTGGTCACATTTAGCTGCTGGGCCACTACCTATGATGTTAAATTATTCATCATTTCTCACAGGGAAAGCAGGCATGCACTCAAAAGAGAAGCGGGGTGCAAGAAAAAGGGTTATCAAAGTATTCACACACTCTTTCAAAAGAGTTAGTTACCTGACAAAAAATATGCTGCTGTAATGTATTTTTATGTGTAGGCAGCAATTCTCCTCTACATCCTAGGGCTGGAATCCTGTGTGGGGAAAACTCAACTGCTCAGTATATGTAAAAGACAGGCCTCATTAACTCTTGGACATCTTCTCATTTCTTGGTCATAAATCCTATTACCTTGTATTACAAACTGCCATAAAACTCACAGATAAAAGATAATTTATGCTCAGTGTACAGAAGCTAATGTTTCTGTACTCCTGAGAAGCACACAACCAGAAAATGAGAAAGTATGTATGTGAAACCTTAAGCCATTCATATTGAGCATGGCTAGCATGATAAACATGACTCTAAGGGAATTATACTCTTCAGCCAGGGTATAGTCTAATGGTAATTGATATTACCAAATTTTGAACATAAAATGTATGAACTCTTGCATAAAATATCCTGCTTATAAAGACTGATTACTCCTTATTAAAAATTCAAGCTTTTCTCCCTCCCCCACTACAGAATGAAATATGACATCTATTCAGTACACAGGTACATTTTTTCTTTTTGTTTTTTTTTTTTTCAAACTCCAATCATCAGATAAGAAAATGCTTCATAACAAGCATTACATCCTAGAATTCTTACAAAGTTTTCTTATTTCTGACTCCTATCCTAATTAGTGTTGCATGGCACACAAAAAAAAACAACCCTTGGAGTTGGCAGAATCAAAGGCAGCTCAATCTTTTATTTGCTTTTTCTCTGAAGCAATTTAAATTGCTCAGACTTTGGCACTGATTTTAACTGTATTGGTTATCTGCTCAAAGGAATATTTTGCTTTAGTGAAGACTGAGCAAATGTGCTCATTTAGGCAGTGTGTCATTAGTTTTCCTTTCCCATTCAGACAAAAGAAAATCTTTCACTGTCAATTTATAAATTCTGTAGCTACAAACTATGTTCCCATTGTGTGGGCCCTTCCTTAGGTGCGACTCATTTCATGCCTGCTTTCTTTTCTTCAATATTTTATTAGTGTTTTGACTGGAATTAATTTATCTAAATTTACGTACTTACAGTCTATATATCTACATTTCTGCCTCCCACCCAGTTTCTCCATAGAGAGCATGTAGACAGGAATTTATGGGATGCAATTATTCCCATCTTTTTCCTCTTTTCCTTACCAGAGCTCATCCTTAAAGGTCAGAAATGAACATTAGAGAGTTTACTTCCTTGAGATTTTCTTCACTTTCCATGTCAAAACATTTTTATCTATATATTTCAAAAACTTGCACTGTCTGTCTATTTCCCAAGAAATGCCTCAAAGCTGTAATTACTTGGATAATATACGTGGATTCAGCACTTGGATAATGTTATTGGCTGATAAAAAAAGGCATTGTTTACCTGGTCCACCTTGCCTGGTAGTCTGCATTGGATCCCAAATCAGGCATTGTCCTTGCTGTCTTCCTCTTCTAACCCTGAAGACTTTTAGCAAGTCCATAATGTTTCCTGCAATGCTGTGGACCCTTACAAGTGTGTTAAACATTGATGTATTTCTTCTACCACAACCTTCTTCTCCAACATTGTAACAATGTGAAATCTCTCTCTTTCAAATAATTAATAGATTTTTGGTGGCCTTCGATATCTACTCACACCATCCTCCTCTTAATTTCTGCACTGGCACCTATAAATTCAGCAGCTTGACTTGTTACTCCCCTTGTTATCCTTCCTAGGGGTCTTAAGGAATTACCAGTCTATGTGCTGTATCCAAATACTTTAGACTCTGCCTAAGTACACATGACAGAGAACTACTCTCTTGCTACAATGAACCAAAGGCTAACATTATTTGCAAACAAAACTGTAATTATGTTTTGCTCTTGTATTTTATACAAAGAATCCAATAAAGATCAGATTCTTCTTCCCAAGAGAGAAAGTTTCTCTTCTACATTTATAGAAATGTTTCTGTTCTACATTTATAGAAAAAGCAACATGCTCTCAACTTTGTCATTTGCATCAGCATTTGAATCTCAAAACCTTGCTTCATTTATTGCACAGTTTCCGGACTTGCATTTCGAACAGTCAGTGGGTCTCCCACTGTGTTAAACTCCCTCCTACCTTGATTTTAAATTACAAAGGGAAGAGAAGGAAAAGAGAGAATATCATGATTGTGGCTGTTTGGAAGAGAAAAATATCAAGCTGAACTCCATTAAAAAACCCAAAAACCTCCAAAAAACAAAACAAAACAAAAAAGCCCAACCCCCCCCCCCCAAAAGAGAGAGAATACTCCCAACTTAGGATCCTCAGTTTATAACCTACTCTCTCAGTTTATAAACTACTCACTTTTTAAAAGAAAAACAACTATCAACTATGCAGGATTAATGTTATTATCTGTTATTATCCACAACAGCTGACTGAAGGTGCCAACAGTGACAAGTTTAAACCAACAATGAAAAGCAATTTTGTGTCAAAGTTAGCACTAAGATTGTTTAAATGGCCTGCCCCTATATCTGCCCCTTATTTCTGTATGCTAGAAACAGCCTGAAGTTTCCTGTGGAACTTTGCCTATCTACAAAAAAAACATTAAAAGCTTTTTGTACAATATTATTAAAAATAGAACAAAGAAGTTTCCAGAAAACAAAACAATTAGCAACCTCCCATTTCTATTTTAAATGTACAGATCGTGTTGTGTTTTTTTTTCAAGTTGTAAAGGCTTTAATTATTCATGGAAGACTCATGAAAGCAACCTTAGGCATTCCATTTTAAAGCTGCTTATGGAAAAAATTAATGAAAATAATTACAAATCTTTCCAGTCTTAGCAAGAGTTTTGTAAGTTAAACTGGAAATTGTCCACTTTATTTCAGCTCTTCAACATGTTCTTAAAAACACCCTAAAAGAAATTTATAGTTGTCAGCAAAGTACTGCACTCACAGATCAATTACAAGCAAGATACTCCTGACTGTTAGATTTTAAAAACAGTTATCCTTTATTTCTCTTTCCCCCTCACTCTGCTGCCTCCATCTATTTAGTTGTGCAACTAATGATCAGAGTAATTCCTCATCATACTGGCAAAAGAGCTCCTGTGTCTACTACCTTTCCTGCAGACACAGTGCTTCAAATTGTTAATAGAGCACCTGCCCATGTGGCTTTAAATCTATAATCTCATAGAACTTCATTAATGCTTTTCTCAAATTACACTGAAGGACATCTGGTGCAAGATTGTGTCAAATTTACCTGTGAATGTTATTTATTTTAATGGAATAAGCTTTCCAAGAGAAACTGGGAAAGTTAGGTAAGCTTTTAGAAACCTTGCCAAGGGGAAAACATATTTAAAAAAAAAAATGAATCACTGTTAGAGAACAGTGTTTGATGTTTAGATTTGCCTTTAATTTAAATCTCAGAAGCAGATCAGCAAGATATTTTGTGTATGTTGTTTTATGGATCAATAAATGCAATAACAGATCTGAAAAACCATAGAAATAACACATCTTAAATAAATTCCCCCGTTGATGCTAGATAGATTCCCAGCATAATGAACTGCGCCATTTGGACGGCATAGGAGCTCTGCCTTACCTACATCAGGAACTCCTTCTTAACATCCTCTCACATATTTTCTTTGTTCCTTTTATTGATGACACCTGTATTGCTCCTCAACATGCAAAAGGGGTGCGTGCTAAATTTAGACTTACTGGAATATAATGTAAAAGGTTAGTTTTATTTTTTCCTGTTTATAATCAATATTCTATATTTGTCCAATTCAGTTTTCATACTTTCTGGTTTTCTTGTTTCTCCCCTTTTAAACAAATTTATCATGAACAAATGAAACATAATCTTTTCCAAAGGAGGAATTCAGAGCCCATCATTGCTGTCCACTTGCCTGCAATGTATTTTATATTTCAGCTTTGACCCTACAGAACACAGCTGATAAAGTGAGCATTTAATGGTACAAGTCCTATGGTGTCAGCGTGGGTGGAAGTTCAGTTTTATTACAAAGTAACTTTTCACAACACTTACAGGTTGAAGCAGGTAAATCAGCGAGCACTCCTGGATAACTATCACTGGAGAAGGAGTGATATTTGTTGCATGAAAAAGCGTTTCCACTGATGCCATTGTTTGGTCAAAGCGTCCTCCAAGTCCACCCAGAGCCACAATCACATCGACCTAAAAGACAGAACAAAAAGACTCACCAAGAAAAGCCTCGGGAATTATCTTTGGACTCTGAGTCTCCACAATAAAATCAGTTTGAGGAAAAAAAAAAAAAAAAAAAAAAAAAAAAAAAAAAAAAACGCAAACTACTGACTATAGAAAAACAAATGTCAAATACAGTTATTTACTTCCATTACCGATAAATACTGTTATGTGATTTTTAAGCTGAGTATTAAAGCACCATAAATCCATGGCCAACATGTGACACTTTTTAAAAGGACATAACCATTCTCCCTAAAATACAGGCCAGTCTTTGAAGGTACTAACCTGTCTGTCTTGAATATATAGAATCTAGGATATATCACTTCACATGGAAGCTCCTTGGGTAAGTGTGGTATATCTGAGCCACAGAATCCCCAGTTCTTTGCATCATTTCGTTATTATACTCACAGTTCACAGAGAAAATAAAGGAAATATGAGGTTAAACCATTATGTGTCATTCTCATTCCTGCCATACAGCATTTCAATGTACAAGCAATACCACTCAAAGGCTGGCCCTGCTCAAGATTAAAAGTAGTACTATATAGAAAGTTCTGCCCCAAGTGACTAGGACATCACCTCCCAGCTGTCAGGGACAGACAGCCACAGGAGCACTCTCCAGTCCCAGTCACACAGAAAACACCATCTGACTGCTTGCAATATGCCATGGAGTCGGACTGCTCCTGCTCAATTCTCTCACACAGGTGTTCCAGACTCTGAACACATCATTTCCTATAAGCAGAAAAGTGGTATTCAAAAGGCTTGGTTAAGAGCTTTTAGGTACTTAAATAAAAGGTCACTGAGTGCAAAGTATTATTATTATTACTTCCATAATGTAGATCAGTTATGTTCAGTAATTGTATTTTAAAATGCTAATGCTAAGTCATATCTAGGGCCCTAAGACATTGCAGCTCTGAAATCTTTAGAGCTGCTTTGACAATGGCCATCTGGTTAAGTTTCCAGCTTTACAGAGCTTAAGTCTACGGTTTCTGTGATTATATGAAATTTTACTCAACCCAAGAGCCACATAATGGTGCTCTGTGTATCTGGAATGATGTATTAATAATATCAGCTTCTATTTTTATTACCAGGTCTAGGGTTTTATGATTCTTTGAATATTGTTTTGCATGAAAATTAAGGTTTTGAAGAGATATACCGTCTTTCTCATCAACACCTGGAAAATTCTTCAGAGGCCAGAGTGGATCAATATAACGTATTACACTAGCAGCAAACCCTGAAACAAAAAAACCCTATCCCTGTACTGCTGACAGCATGTATTTTCTGTGCAGATTATAGATCACACAGACCAAATGTACAACCAAGAGAATAGGGATGGTAAGAAAACCTACCCTTAAACAGAAGACAAAATAGCAAAAGGTAAAAAGCATGTGTTTCCAGCTAAACCATAATCCCATAATATATTTTCCCTTTTATTGATTCCACTTTAGAAACAAACTGCTTTTGTTTGACTGGTGATGACTGTGAGTTAAAAGGGTGGATTGATTCTCTGAAAATAATACTACTAACATGACCCACCAAAACCCATCAGTTTCCTACCAGACAGCCAGCATTAAAATGCTCCTCTCCTTCCCTAAGAGAGGCCATGGAGAAAATCAGATTTACTATCCTGGAACCACCGTGAACTTAAGGTGGTTTTACAAAGAATCAGCATCCACATATATGTTGTTTTTCTTCCTAGCAATGGGACTGAAGCTCAAATATTAGCCTAGATTAGTCTTCAAGAAACCAAGCAACTACTGTACAGTTTCTTGGTGTATATATGCCTCACCATACACGAACTCAGTTTTTTTTGGCTTTGATGAGTGGTACCAATATAAAAGGTAGGAATGAAGGAAATACAGAGCTCCTTTGACTTGGAACTGAAATCATGCAATAACATTCTAGAGATGTCTTCTTTCCCTTGTAAACCCTTCTTTGGTATTACCACACATGTGCTTCCCATGAAGTAGAGTACCCAGCTCAAGTTATGAAGTGCACAGAACCGCACAGTTCTGTGGCAGAGACTGACAGAGAACTGCAAGTTGAAGAAAAATGTAGCAAAAAACCCACTTCTTATATTTTCAAGTAATACAGAATCCTCCTCAAAGTCCTACTCCTTAGTCCATTGGAACAGTGCAGTGGATTGGTTACCACAAAAGAAGAAAATAAAATCAATATAGCATGGAGTAGGCATGTTGAAAAGGCATTCATAAACAAGAGGTATGGGGTAAGATAGATATCTGAAAGGGGAATGTATCTATTATTTAGGGTTTGCACGGATTGTGAAAATGAAAAACAAGCATGTGGCAGGTATGCAAACAAACCCAGCTGGAGTATGAGAGGAACAGACAGAGAGAAAAGCTAAAATTCTGCACTTCTATGACAGTATAGTACCACCTTTCACTGGATAATCTTGGCAGAAGTGACAGGTATCCAGACATTGTAGGACTTTTAGAGCCTTTATTTGAAGGGCTAGGCATTCACACTTTGCTTATTGAAAAAAACCCAAAAAGGCTAAGCACAACCAAAACCTCAAAAACGTTTTAATCCTAAAGCTATCACTTCTGTCAAAAAAAAAGCAACGTAAAAAACACAACACAAAAATCACAAACTAACAAAAAAAATCAGTTCCTTCACTGCAATCACTGCTCCTTGTCACTCTGCCAAGAACTTAAGAAAATGGATGTGCCATGAAAGCATGTACACAACTCTGTGTCATTCTAGAACCTAAGACAAAGTGAATACCCAAGGATTGGTGCATTTAGATATTCCCACACTACAAAGAAAGGCCATTCATTTTTGCACTATGATTTCCTGCATACCACAGGCCACAGAATTAATCCTGTTACTGCTAATGAGCCCAGCAGGCAACATTTGACTACCACAATGTACTTCAATTGAAATGTCCATGCTTCACTTAAATGTCCCATCACCAGTCCCCTTACACAATTTGTTTTCACACTGTGTCATTCATTTCCTGAAAAAAAGGACATAAAATCATAAATAACTACAGACAACAGCTTATATCATTGCAGGCACATTCTCTTGGACTATCTATAACCTGAATTAAATGCACAGTATCTTTAAAGGCTGTCAAGATTTAACTTAGAAATTGCTGAAGATCTAAGGGTAGGATCCAGTCATCTTTAAAAGATACACCCATAAGTTAGCATGTCTTGAGAAAGTTTTAGAAGTCACTATCAAAGAGCAGGGTAGTTAAAAGGAGAAAGAAAGCACAGAGCAAGACTTTGTGCTGGCAATTCAGGGATGTATTTTTTGTTCTCCTGCAAACTGTGATTTAGAGGGTGCAGTAACCAAGGGGAGCTGAGGCTCTCACCACATCAGAATGAAGTTGCTCAGGTTCCTGCTTCCACTCTCACAGAAACTTCTGAAATGGACAACTTGCTGTAAACTCTTTGCAGGCTTGCTAAATTAAACACTGTGAAAGCTGGCCCAGCTGACATTCCTCTTTCTAGTATAAATGGATTAAATACAAAGAAGGTTTTCACTTTATGACTGAGGAACACGCATCTAAGGATACAGGAAGCTGGGAACTGCCTGGAGTGGGTGAAAAGAGAGCAATACCTAGCTTTGCAATGTCAGCATCACCATGACATGTAAGAGTGAAAGTCCAATGCTCCAGCTGACAGCAAATTATGCATGCTGTTTTCACACTGTGTGAAAACCATGCTCATTATCTCTGATAAGAAATCCTCTCCCCAGGGAGAGGACAGACAACTCAAAGGACATTGTTCCCCATGAGTTCACTTTTTGCCAGACACCTTGCAAACAAAAATGCCTAAGTCTCAGGGAGGTAACAGTCTTCAGGGCAGATGAAAGGAAACAAATGTTCTAACAACAACCAGCAGCACTGAACGAACTGTAAAGATGATCTCCCCTAAAGTAAAAAAACAAGGCAAGAGTAATCAAGACCTTGTAAAAGTTCTGGAGTCATGACTAAACCTCCTCCTCCTCTGAGATCATGGAGACCACCCATTGCTAATATCCAAGATATTAGCATGCCAATTACCAGTTAGATATCTGACTGGAACATAGTGGGTTTTTAGCACCTTCTCACTTCACTGAAATCCTTTCATCTCCACAGCCTTTCTTAATTTTCTAGAACTCATAAGATGATTCCTTTAATTTAATTTTTAAAGGAATATGACATAGACAACAAAATTATTGTAGTAATATGCATGGCATGTTGGAAGTTTACTATATGCTGAAATATATAGATATATACACATATATATAAGTATCTCATGTTGAAAAATGAACAATTAAGTAGTAGTGTGAATGTTAAATTCATTATTGCTTTATTGGTTTGTCACTTCATCAATTTTGGGCAGTTTACAAGAAAAGCATTTTCTTCTTCATAAGGCAATTTGTCAGCACAGGACGTGGTTTAAATTATTTTCTAGTCTTTGCATCAGCTTCAGTACCAAAGACTTTAAAACACACCAAGCACTTCCCTTGATAACAAATGGGTCAGAGTAGATTTTGACTCACTTGCACGTGGCTGTGCCAGAGCTCTAGTGCTGGCCAGATAAGTAATTTTTTTTGTCATCCTCAAAATTGCAATGCAAATTTCATGAACTACTAAAATCCCACAATCCAATGTTAAATATGTAGCAAGATATTGTCCACTTGAGTTGATTACACTGGCTCCCTAGCTCAGTGTTTTACATAAAAGGTATGACATTCATTTCTGTAGAAATGAGATGCTGAACCACACAGCAGCATCTGAACTTTGCTCAGGTAGAATCCTCTTTACTTTAGCCAGAATTTTCTTGTTGCTTCAGCCATGTGACTCTTCCTGGGAACAAGAGCTCTCAGTCAAAGTCTGCCATCCTGTCTGTGTACCTGAGATGATAACCTTCAATCAGCTTCATCCTCACCTCACTGACTCCATTAATCTATATATTATATTATTCCAGCTTTCTCACAAAGCATTTCTTGCTTTTTATCTTCAT